ATGGGATAAGCATTGCTTAGTATCCCCAGGAAAAGAATTCTCACAACAGATAGAAAATTTATTTGTTAATGTTCTTATGTCTCAAAATTATTTTAAAAAATTAAAACATGAAAGATGTTAAAAGGATATGCGAATAGAGATATTTTCCATATTAGACAGAAAAAATGAGAAAGCCTAAACAAGTGATGAGGGTCTGTGTAGGTTTGTTATGATATATAAAGGATGAGGCAAATATAATAGACACATAATCTTAAAATTTCAGAGAGAGAGAGAGAGAGAGAGAGAGAGAGAGAGAGAGAGAAACAAAAGAACAGTTCCTGTGAGCTCGAAACTCACCCCTTTCCAAATATAAACTGAAACTGAATTGTGCTCTGGCTACAAACCCGGCCCCACCGCATCTCCTGATGTCCTGGCAACTTTAAACAAGGGGGACATAGTTATCGACCTGTGTCCTGTGCAGATCACAGGAGATGTTAACCTTAAGAAATCAAATGCCACAGTCCCCTGATGGGAAGGGGAAAACAGAATTAGATTGTAAAACCCACTCTGCCCCAGCACGATCCATTCTAGACTGAATCTTGACTTACAGCACAAGGCTATTTCCCTCCCTTGATACTTCTCTTTATCCTTATTCAGTATGCAAACTCTTTTCCCTTGTCAATGATCCATCCCTAATCACTGGCCTTGAACAATATCTTCATTTACAACAAATTTATATATGCTGACAAGAAGTTATAATCAATGGTCTTCAATTAGTTTGAGAAATACTTTTGTACCAATTACAATACATATTCTGCCCTCAAAATATTACATATCTGAGGTCTTCTGTATCATCTTGGATCCCTACCATGAAGGATATTACAGGTTCCATTCCTTTTTTTAATGCATCCTTACTGATTTAAGAAATCTATGAATCAGTCTTAAGAATCAGACTTTCCCAACATCAAAATATAATATTCAAAAGGATCCTTCCAATGGCAGCAATAGTATGTTCACAGTTCATAAATGTATTCTTTATTTTAAAACCTGAAGATACATTTAAATGTAACATTTCACAGTGTTCACAAAAAAATGGCTCCTTTCTCATTGTAAATGGTTTACTAGTAGAAAAGAAATAACGAAATTTTGAAGGAATCTCTTTTTTTTGTCCTTACACATTCCTTAATTCTTTGGGTGGTTAAGATGAAGTTACTCAGTAACAATCACGTTCCCCAGCGGTTTGTTCAGTTTTTGTCTATTTAAAGAACATTTGACTTTTGAAGGATTTCATATATATATATATGACTTCAGGGGCTGGAGGAATGGCTCAGCAGTCCAGAAAACTTACCTTCTTGCAGTGAACTGTAGTTCCATCCTCAGTACTCACACATGGCGGGGGCTTTCATAACCACCTATAACTCCAGCTTCAAGGGGTCCAACACCCTCTTTTGGCCTTCTGAATTCACACATACATTTACCTTACTCAGATACGTACACTTATATATAATTTAAAATAAATAAATAAATCTTTTACAAAACACTTTACAACACATTATACCCTGATTTGAAGGTGCCGATATGCATTGTGGAATTAAATTTACCAATTGGAAATGTTTGAAATCATGAAAGAATTAATATCAAATACAGTAGCAAAGAGCTTTCATAAGATTTTCTTGTTTTCAGATGTATAGGAATTCCATTGAACTTTTCTGAAGAAAAATCCATTTTCCTCTCCCCTCCTCACTTATCTCATGTTAGATAACACCAGTGGTGTCTAAAGATGTGACTGGGTCTAGCCTTGGAAGATCTATTGGCTGGAGCCTCATGTGTCATCTTGAGAGGAGTTAGAAAAGCAGAGGTGGTGCTGTGTCATGTTGCCAAAGGCTGCCTTGGTTCCTAGCAGGTCACATGAGTACACAGACCACACACACACACACACACACACACACACACACACGTGCGTGCGCACACACATTTGTCCTTCCACATTCCTGTTTTGCAAAGAAGCAAGTCAATGTGCTATTTAAGACCTCCAAATCATTTTTTAATTCTAGTTTTTATTCTTTGAGAATTTCATACATGTATACAGTGAAACATCAAAGTTACCCCCTAGTTCTTCTCCAACTCCTCCTTCTAATTCATCCTAGCATACCCGCCTCCCAGTTCAATTAAGGTAGTGCTGCTCTTATGTGCATGGGTAAAGGCCTAGCCACTCAAACCTGGAAATTTTATCAGTGGCCACACCTTAAGAAGGAATGGTTCTCCTCCCTTCCAGGTAGCTATCAACTGCCAATAGTTCCTCAGTAATGAGTGGGGCCTAGAGAGCACCTCCTCCCTCCATGCAGGAGTTTGGGTTTGTTTGGTCTTGTATAGCTCTTGTACCCAAGACCATGACTGGTGTGTATTCATGAG